GAGTCACGCCGAGGTGCCGACCCCACTGCAATCCAGACGCTCCGCGACTACCTCCTCGCCATGGAGGCTCAGCTCGTGAGCGTCAGGGATACGGGCACTGCCGCTGTCAGGACCTTACACGAAGATACCTTGACTCTGCGGCAGGTTCCTGCGACTGAAGTACAGGGGACTACGGATCAACAGCTCCGTGATGACCTCATTGCGCTTGGTGATCAGTCTGAAGTGACTACTGCCAGCCTCCACTCCGAGAGTACCACAACCACGTCCGAGTTGCACGGCAAGCTGTGTATTGCCGAGATGGCCATGGCTCAACGTCTTGATGCACCAGAGGGAAACGTGCCAGCACTTGAGAAGCGAGTCCCCACGGTCGAGCAGCAATTACCTGACCTGCACGCTGCGCTGGCTGAGTTGCGTGTTGTACGGGCCCAGACTGGCCAGCTGGGCACCTCGACGTCGGTTTGCGATTTCGCCCCCGTCGCCGCCGAGATGGCCGAGGTATGGAAGGCGGCGGACCGCGTGCAGGTGCCCAGATCTGAGGAGTTGCGGGAAGCGTGGAGCAGCGCAGGGGAGAGGGGGCCGGCTGCGCGGGCGCCGGCGCGCCAGGGCTGCCCGCGCGGGGCGGCGTGTGGGCGCCTCCTCGGCCCGTGCGGCGTGCCGCGAGGGCGGCCTGAGCCGCCGCGCCACTGCCCAGACCTCCCCGCTTCGGTTTTCGAGCGTGTTCGTCGATGCTTCGAAACCCGACGTCCTGCGCCTCGAGAGAATCGTGACGAAGGTTTTTCCTTGTTTCCGGTTTGGGGGCCCTTGCCGGGCCTCGGGGCCGTCAAATCACGACTCGGGATGAAAACCGGTCCCGGGGAAGTGGCAGAGAGGTCGGGAACCCGTGTTTCTGGATGCCTTGAGCAGCTGTATCTCGCCGAGGGCGTTCCGGGTTTGCCCGGATCGCACCGAGCGGCCGCCGGAGACCCGAGTTGTGGACCGAACGCCAGAGAAGAGCTCCTCGCGGCGTGGGGAATCACGGCGGGATGTTTTGGCTCGGCCTTTCGGGGGTTTCTCGCCGGGCTCCAGAGCCGTCCAAGACCACCTCAGGATGAAGGTGTGTGAGAATCATGGCCTTTGAGCTCTGGGCAAGGTCCCTCTGTCCGTGTGCGTAAGGAAGGCCTTGAGATCCGACGTCGCGAAAATATTGCAGCACCACGTGGAATCAGAGCCAGAGCTGTCTTGAGCGGGATCGATCCATGTCGTGGGGCTCGAAGCCCTGGCAAAAACGCTTGGCATGAACACTTTCGACGCCTGGATTTCCGTGCCCCCTCTTCCTTCGCCGCCTAGACTGTGGCGTCCCAAATCTCCGAGCTGCCATCTGCTGACCTGAGTTGGAGGATATCGGCATACACCGAGGTCCTTCAGTTGAGCAGCGCTGGCCTCCCGCTTGCGCAGGGTACTTCTCAGGGGCCACAAAGCTGGGCTGGTGCAGCATGGGGCCTGTATCCAGAACAGCCCTTGTCCTCCAGGCATGCAATTTGTTCTGGACCTTCTGGGTTCTCAACGTGAGTAGTTTTTCCCGCCCCTGGGGCCCAGGGGTGTCTCTGCATAGGCTGGACAGCACGAGCAATCTTCCGTCGTGGTCTCTTTGCGACGCGAGAAGGTCTGGGTAGATGGAAGACTGGCGGACGTCGGTGGAAGCCGGCGAAGGCGGGGTAAGCAGCGGAAGCGGGTCCTCCCGCGGAAAGCCGGCGGGAGGCCAGCGCAAGGCGGCGGAAGTAAAAACGAGCCGTCAACGTTTTTCCATCCAGGGGTTCTGGAGTCGGCCATCGTGAGCTCTGGGTGTCGCATCTTTTTTTTTGACAATGGACGTTTTCGCTTTGCCTCGAGTCCTGAGAGCCTCACAGTTCGATCCGGCCCGGGCGGTGCCACGGAAAGGTGGGGTCCAGGGCCATCGGATGTGATTTCCTTTGATCTGCTGCACTTTTCCCGCGGCGTCGGATCTCTCCAGACATCCAAGTCTTCTTTTTTGTTTCCACAGCGTGAGCCTTCCTGATGCCTCGACCCCCTCCCCAGGACTGATTTTTCACCCCGGGTCGTTTTCAGATTGTCCCGGGGCTCAGCGAGAGCTCCTGGAGGCCGAGGACTGCCAGAAACCGCTCGTCGTGGTGTTTTTCCTCGACGCGATGAGCTCTGGGTCAGGGTAGTGGCGCAGATCGCGGCGGCGGAGGTCTGCGAGCTGCCTTGCTTCAGGGGCAATGTTCGGGGAGGACCGGCTCAGGGGGGCGGCGCAGCATCGACCCCCACCAGTCGCCCATTCGTCGCCGAGGGGGGCCTGTGACAGCCCAAACCGCCCAGGAGCGCTGGGTTTTGCCATCGAGGGCCTGCAGTCGAAACACATGGTAGGGATGCGCTGCTTCATCAAACCCACCTTTGAATCCCTGCCCCTTGGGCCTGTCCTGAGCCGGTGTTGACGCCCAAGTTTTTTAAAGGGTCTTGCACCCTTGCCCTGCGCCCTCACTAGGGACGATGGACATTCACTCGCCGACCTGTCGGCGATGTGTCGCCGACTCCTTCCTTCGGGCCGAACGAGATGGGGGGATAGGGAAAGGGGGGTTACGAAATCTGCTGCATGCAGCTGGTTTCGGCTCCGCCGCTGGGCCCATTCCTCATACATGGGCGCCTCCCGGCGCCGGGAGGCGCGGGGAAAATCAGCTACGTGAGCTGATTCTCTACCCTACCCTTTGCTATCCCCCCCTTTCGTTCCCCCGAGATGTGTCGCCGAATCCTCCCTGCGCCAGCTCTCCCCGTCAGTTGCCCCTCCTGTTGCTGCCTTCCCGAATGGGGCGCGCCCTGCCGGCGAAGTCGGCAGGGCGGCCGCCGCCCGTGCCGAACGCCTTGGGCGCGGAGCCCTGGCCTCCGCCGCTGCTCGGGCGCCTCCAAGCCCTGACCCCCCCTCGCGAGCCTTGGACGAAATAGGACGGAGGCTTGGAGGCTCGAGGATCGAGGCTCGACGGGAAAGAGTTTCGGGCGGTCCCGTACGTTCCCAGCGGTCCTCCAGCTTGGGGCGCTGTCCAGCGACTGCGCCTCGCCGAGGGCATTCCAGGGGTGGCCGAATTGAGCCAGACTCCCTCGACGGAGGGTTTTTCTGTATTTTCAGCCTCTGGGGGCCCTTACCGGGCCTTTGGGCCGTCAAAAGACGACTCGGGATGAAAACCGGTCCAGGGGAATTGGTTCAGGCTTTCGGGGGTCGACGCTACGAACAAAATCATGACGTCGGGGGTCTGGGATCCCAGACCTCCTCGAGTCGGTTTTCGGACATGCTCTTAGACTCCTCCAAGCTTTCCAGCCTCGGGATGCTTTCCAGCAGCTGCGCCTCGCCAAGGGCGTTCCAGGGGTGGCCGGATCGTCCCTAGCGGCCGCTGGAGACCCGAGTTATGACCCGAACTTCGACCTCCCCGCGTCGCCAAAATTAGCCTGGCGAAGAACCCAACCATATGCAGTTGTCAGTACCGCAGCTTTCAGTGGAACTCCCCATAGGACCACAGAACGTGTGAGGGGTGTGCCGAGATGGGTGCCACTGGGGCATTCGGTGAAGCTCCCTATGGGGACATGAAACACGCGCGGGGCGTGCCGACATGGGTGGCGGAAACGCATGTGAGGGCCGCCACTGGGGCCTCCAGTGGAGCTCCCTATGGGTCCCCGAAACATGATGCTGCTGCGGGGGGGGTGCCAGGATGGGTGGCGGAGACGCATGTAAGCGCCGCTACTGGGGCCTTCGGTGGAGCTCCCTATGGGGCCACGAAGCGCGTGAGGGGTGTACTGGGATGTGTGGCGGGGACGCATGTGAGCGCCGCCACTGGGGCCTTCGGTGCAGCTCCTATGGGGCCACGAAACGTGTGAGGGGTGTGCCGAATTGGGTGCGGGTGGTGACGCATGCGGGCGGTGCCACTGGGGCCTTCGGTGGAGCTCCCTATGGGGCCACGAAACCTGTTGTTGTGAGTGGCGTGCCGGGATGGGTGGCGGGGACGCATGTGAGCGCGGCCGCTGGGGCCTTCGGTGGAGCTCCCTATGGGGCCACGAAACGTGTGAGGGGTGTGCCGAATTGGGTGGGTGTGGGTGACGCATGTGAGCGCCGCCACTGGGGCCTCCGGTGGATGATGGGGCCACGAAAGTGAGGGATGTGCCGAAATGGGTGTGCGGGACGCATGCGCATGTGAGCGCCGCCACTGGGGCCTTCGGTGGAGCTCCCTATGTGGCCACGAAACGTGTGAGGGGTGTGCCGAAATGGGTGTGCGGGACGCATGCGGGCGGCAGCACTGGGGCCTTCGGTGGAGCTTCCTATGGGACCACGCAACGTGTGAGGGGTGTGCCGACTTGGGTGTGCGGGACGCATGCGGGCGGCAGCACTGGGGCCTTCGGTGGAGCTCCCGATGGGGCCACGAAACGTGTGAGGGGTGTGCCGAATTGGGTGTGCGGGACGCATGCGGGCGGCAGCACTGGGGCCGTCGGAGGAGCTCACTATGGCGCCACGCAGCGTGTGAGGGGTGTGCCGAAAGCTTGCTGACGGGACCATGCTGGCGGTCGCACTGGAGCCTTCGGGAGCTCCCTATGGGCCACGCCAACGTGTGAGGGGTGTGCCGAAATGGGTTGTGCGGGAGGGGACGCAAATGCGGGCGGCAGCACACTGGGGCATGTGTGAGGGGTGTACTCCTTATGGGGCCACGAAACGTGTGAGAGTGTGCCGAATGGGTGTGCGGGACGCATTGCGGGCGGCAGCCTGGGGCCTTCGGTGGAGCTCCCTATGGGGCCACGAAACGTGTGAGGGGTGTGTCGAATTGGGTGTGGCTGACGCATGCGGGCGGCAGCATTGGGGCCTTCGGTGGAGCTCCCTATGGGGCCACGAAACGTGTGAGGGGTGTGCCGAATTGGGTGTGGCTGACGCATGCGGGCGGCGCACTGGGGCCTTCGGTGGGCTCCCTATGGGGCCACGAAGCGTGTGAGGGTGTGCCGAATCCCTA